AGTAGCTTGAGGAATACACCTGATTTGTGTGTGTGTGCATGGCCCCAAATCCCAGAGCATGAAGAAGGGATTACAGCATGACCATCCTCCTGGGAGGTACATTCTCTCTCTCCCTCTCTCTTTTTTTTTAAAGAATTATTTTATTATTTATTTATTTTTGCTCTGTGGCATGTGAACTTGCCAGAGAGAGATAGAGAGGGGGGAAATGAGAAAGCACCCCCCCAAGGGGATGGCAATGTTGCAACCCCTTCTCCTCCATTCTTGTCTCTGGATTTGGGGCACACACATACATACCTGGTATGATTCTCAAACAGCCAGGTCTGGGACTTGAACCTTGAAGTCTGCCATGTGGGACCTAGCCACCTTAACCTCCATGCCACCTGTTATTATTTTATTTGTTCATTAGTTTATTTTCATTTGACCAGAGAGAGAGAGAGATCGAGAAAGTGAGAAAGCAAGCCACCAGGTCCAAGACTCGAACCGTGGGCAGCCATGTGGGAGTGTCCAGCTCTTCAACCGCTGGTCCACACCACCGGCTGGGCCCCAAATTATTACTATTTTTAACCATGCTCCGTGGGCAGCCATGTGGGAGTGTCCAGCTCTTCAACCGCTGGTCCACACCACCGGCTGGGCCCCAAATTATTACTATTTTTAACCATGCTATGAGGCTTGTGTGCTCACCAGAGAAAGACACAGGGGAAGTTAGAAATCACCACCCAGGGGGAAATGACCACGCCACAATCCCCTCTCCTCCATTCTCCTCTTGGAATTTGGGGCACATACACACACCAGGTATTTTTTTCAAGTCATGGAATCTGGGACTTAAACCACAAAGTTGGCCACATGGGATGCAGCCACATTAACCACCATGCCATGTGACCTGTGACTTATTTTATTTATTTTTTAATGTGAGAAGGGGAGAAAGCCAAGGTACACTCAGCTAGGCCCGGTTACGCTGCAACCCTTTTTCCACTTTAATTGTCTATCTTGATAGAATCCGGGACACATTTCCAGTATTTTTTTTGAGACCCAAGTGCAGGACTTGAACCCTGATGGGCTATGTCGGCTTCATCTTCCTCTACGCAATGGTTATGCGCTTAGAGGCCAGCTCTAATCTTTTT